GACAGTCGAAATTTTGACGCCATCGACTGAAATATTAAGTTCAAGAGATTTGAGATTTGATTTAAGTTTGGAAATTTGAGATGTAGAAGTTAAACAGTAACGGGAAGAGGACACCACCCTGCGGAACCCCCTGTTTAATTCTTCTCAGTTTAGATGTTTCACTTCGAAATAGTACGGATGACTGACGAAAGCTCAGGTAGTTCATGGTCCATCTCTTTAGCCCTGGAGGAAGCGTATTTTTTTCAATGTCCTGCAGTGGCGTTGTGTGCTTGAGTGTGTCAAAAGCTTTTGACAAGTCCAACGCTACGAGGATCGTACTCTCACAGGGCGGTTTCTGGTTGAGACCATGATCTATCTGAGCGTTTATGACGCTAAGTGCTGTGGAGGTGCAGTGCTCAAGTGATTTCAATAATGGGGAGAGAAGTGTTATCGGTCGATAAGATTCCCCTTTGTTGGGGGGTTTTCCAGGTTTCAGGAGATTGACCACTCTTCCGATTTTCTACACATCGGATATTTTGAAGAGTGTTCAGTGACAGATTGAGGACCTTGGTGAGGTAACTTACTCCCGCCGAGCTTAGATGCTTTAGCATTACCATGTTAATTCCATCAGGGCCAATGGATTTGGAGGATTTTGCTTTATTGATGACATTCTGAACTTCCTCATCGGTGAAAGTAAGCGGCATGCAGTTGTTTGGCATTTTGCACAGCGTCGGGTAACACAACTCTTAGCTTCGTCTACAGAAGGGTGCAGTGTAAACTGCCGGCTTTAATAGCTCGCGCACTTCTTCGGGTCCGAGGAGGCATGATCGTTGAATTGAACTTCAACTCGGTCGTCATGGCTCTCAGATAATGCAAAGCTTTGACAGTAGCCCAAAGCTTACTCACACCAGTGGAGAGGTTACAGGACTTCATGTGCTCTATCCATTTTGTCCGGTGGTTTACCATATGTCGAATCTCCAAATTGAGATCCCTTATTCGGGAATCCCCGGGATCGGCATGGCGTAAGGTGTCGCGCTCGTTAGATAAAACGGCTGCTCCGGCTGCGAAATTGGGGCGGATTTCTCGGGACCTCGCCTGACCGGATAACTATACCCTGACATTCTAGGGTAGTATCAGTACAGTCATGCGGATGCCTTTAACATTCGTTATACACCAACATTCAAATTTTACTATCTCCACGATCACGAATTCAGAAATATAAACATAAAAAACGAACAGCAAATTGAATTACAAAACATTTAGTGCGTTTATTTCGGTGCTATATCTTTCGCTTTTAATTCAGAATAAAGGAATGTTAAAGTTTATATTGATTCATTTCTGCATGGCAACTTCTATATTAGTTGTTCTTTTTATTGCAATTACGCGAAGAAGTCGTAATTTCCTCAGTCTCAGCACTTTCGTCAATTACATGCCCTGTGTCCAGCCTATTCTTGTCCACGGGATAGAGCCAACGCTGATATAAGTATACAAGGAACACAACATCATCTCGTAAACATGCTACTCTATGCGCGGTAGGCATGGTGATGATGAAAGCAAAGAAATCGTCTATGAAAGTATTGAACGCCTTATACATAAAAGCTCTCCAGGGTAAAGCAGCAACGGACTTTAGCTTATAATTTACAAACAACTGTGGCAACATAAATAGAAAACCGAAGGCATAAACTCCATTAACGAGCGAGTTAAGAGTCCACGAGTACCAACTTTTATGTGGTTGATATAGGAGTGAATAAACAGCTCCTGCCAGGCATAAGGGGTATAATAAATAACTCAAATATTTCATTCCTTGCTTGTCAAATTCTTCCGTTTTCTTTTCCGCACTTTGGCATGCCTGTTTTTCTTGTATTTGTCTCCTTTGAATGCCACGTATTCCTACTTCTAATTTTAATATCTTCTTACACTTCCATAATTCTATTAGCACTCCAAGGCCAGCCGGAACTAGAACCAGCATGGATGTGTTTTCGTCCAGTAAATACATAAAAATCACAATTTGTGAGAATGCTCGCCAGAGCGTTGTACGAGTTGAAAGACCCTCGTATGTGTTTTTTCTGCGCCAGAATATTACATCGTTTTTGAACGAAAGGAAATCAAAGAGGATCTAAACGAGATACCAATATTAATATATAGTAGGTTTCACAATTACTATACTTACATGTACACTGGCAACAAATATGGTGCCGCAGAGTAAATATACGTTGGTATCAGAGAACATTCCTTTTACATCATCAATATCCTTCCTCGAGAATCCTATAGTTTGCATCATTTGCATTGAGTTTTCAATCATAAGCATTAAACGTAGTTTTCCAATGCCAATTGGCTTATAATAAAATGTTACGTTGAACTCGGTGGTATTTCTAGTTACTTGTACCAAATTTTTTAAACGAGTATTAAAGAAATCAGTCTTAAGGATTGGCATTATTTGACGGTTGCGATTGATTTGTATTAATTTCGCCATCTCAGGTGGAACATCCGTTTTTGATAATGATATAGCATCCGTGAGTAAATTGATGTAAACATGAGACATTATATGTGTAACCGGTTTATTTTCCAAAGCATTACCTTTGACTTTTCCCGATTTCGGTTTATCTTTTTTCTCGGATTGATTTACATTCGAATTTTTCTACAATTATTACAGAAAATTCGTTTTTAATTAAAAACTAAAATGCACTTCTTTATTTTGTCATTGTTACAACTTACGCTTTCACCGAGTAAATTAAATGCTTCTATTCGTGGAGTAATAAATTCTGTCAATCTGGTTACGTGGATTACTGTGGGACCATCTCTTCTTAATGTTCTCCATTCAAGTGGTTCTCCTTCCAAAGCCAACACAACCTTAAACCGAATTAGAATCGTATATAAAAAGTGTGAAATATTTACAAATCAAATAATTGTACCTGTAAGTAAAGGCTTCCATTTCGGCGAGTTTTTAATGGAACATCAATTTGAAAATCATTTAAATACGAATTCCTATAGTCGAAGTTCTTAGTACTAAAAATTTTAGACACTTCGCTTGTTATTGGGTTTGGGGTGATGGATGTAAATAGTGCTAATTGCATACGTGGGTTATCACTAAGAAATGAGGTATAGCAAGGACGATCTGAGCAATGTAACGTAGTAAATAGCTGCGCCATCAACCAAATAGAATGGGCTACGTAAGCCATAAAGGCAACGCCCAATATCGTTGTTATTGATGGAAAATACATTACGGTGGTTTTATTGCATTCTTTACATGAACCTGTAAAAAATGGGAATCAAGTTGAAATAAAACCAGCTAAACTTTCTCTATTTTTTGTTATTAAAACTCAACCAGCTAACTGGGCCGGCGAAAGATAGTACCAACATATTCCCCATTCACAACGACTGCTTCTTCTTAGCGAAGACATTCACAGAACAAAACTACGCTGCCACATTATATTTTAATCAATGCTGAGGCGGAAATAATTAAATTTGGCAATAACTCAAGGCAGTAACCAAACTAACCGTGCGATTCTGTACTGTGATATGATTTGAGATTTAAAAAAAATTTTGAGACTTGACATGATTTCGCTATTCTGTAAGTGACAGTCGCAAAATCTATTAGTTTTCATAATTCAGAGATCTTTTTAAACTTGAATGAAAATAAAAATTTAACATTTTCGGGTTTGAGTTGCTTACAAAATATAAAAAAGCGACAATCGATTAATATGTATGATTCAGTATATTCAAAATGATAGACAACGGTTCTTTTTGGTTTTGTGACCCGCTAACTACCAGCTCTCAAATTTTGAGACTAACGCTAGAGACTGTTTAGTGAATAGTAACTAGTCACATATTGAGATTTTACCTCAAAGTGTCTCAAAAAGAGAGTAGAGACCGGTTACATTCCTGGTCCCGTTATTAACTGACAGAAGACTGCTAACCGGACATTGAGAAAATGGCTCTAAAGGTTCTTATATCTTATAATTTAGACCTTTCCAAACTAAATTACTCCAATGACTTCAATTTTCGTCGTTTTCCCACAACGACGTTACGAAGAGAATATATTTTGAAAAAAGGTTAAGAGATTCACTGGTCAGTAACCGAATCACCGAATGGGAGGATAACATCCTCTTGAAGAACCTTCGCGGGAAGGTGTAAAAGAATTTTTCAAGGTGAGATCTGTGCAGAGCTTATTTAAGAGGAAAACTACCCCAGGATTTCACCAGATTTCAATACAGAACGGCATAGCGTGCTATTCGCTATGTGACGTTAGTAATCACATTACCCAGAAAAGTTTACATTTATAGAAAGTATTTTAAATTTGAATTTATTGACTTAACATCCGCTTGACATGTACAATGTTTAATCTTAATAAAGCTATAGGAATTCGTAGCAAAGCTCAAATGGGCTTCTTTACTTACCCTCAGTACTCGGTGTACATACATTACTATCACATTAAAGTATAAAATTTTACAACCTGCACATGTGCAATGGGTATACGACTGCGAAAATCAAAATGATGAAATGGCAGAGGAGAAGAAAGAGCGCCTTTTAAGATCTGAAGTTTCTTCGACAAAATAAAACAACTAAAGCACATATCGCATCCGAAAACGTCTTTTAGTTTCTGGGATATCGATCAGAAATTAATCATACATTCTTTCATTTGTTGAAACCGAATGATCTGAATCAAGCAATCGTATTGAAATCTTTCTCACATGATGAGATATCTTTACGAAGTTAATAAATAACGAGCTTTTAATGAATCTTTTGTAACTGCAGAGCGTTATAGCGTCAACCGAAGTTAACGATTTTTCTTCTTTGACGTGAACGAGGTATTGAGTTAAATAAACCTACATGAAATTTTAAAACGTTGATGCCTAATCGTAGAGGAATTTCCGATCACCATCATAACAACATAGTGTAAAATATAAATTTCCAACTTTTATATTGTGCTCTCATAGGTATTAGCAAAAAAAATGTATCATACGTTTTTAAAATAGCTTGATAAAAAAAAAATGCATTTGAAACCGTGGCTTCAAGCAATAATTTCCTACCACAAATGTGTTTTAAATTTATTATAGCAATATTAGAAAAATAATACATAAATAATTAATAAGCAAGTGGAGAAGTTAGGCATTACGTATTCCTAAAGCTTGTTCCAATTCCGCACGTTTTTGATTCACTTTCGTAAAGAAATATCGAGATACAGCTTCATGAGTCCACGGTTGATAATAAAATTCAGCACGGCGTTCTTCTTCTGGATTACCAACAACATCCGTCATTGCCTATATAAATAATACAATTAAGGTTCACTTTTAATTTACATTAAATATATATCGCTTACCTTCAAATCCCTAGTTTGGCTGACAATCCAACGATGTATGAACTTTTGTGGATCTTTTGCAAAGCTCAAAAAGAACTCCCGATTAGTTTTCATCTGGTTGATGGTGTCCACAGTCTCGTGAATTTTGGTATCCAAACCCTGGATCTCTTGTTGACTAGCAGTGCTCATTAAAAAGTTATTCATCTGATTTTTAAGTGTATCATCAACTTCGACGTCAATATCATAGCATGCAGTTTGCTTATTTTCTGCACCGCTCTCAATAAAGTGATTAATTACAATTGGATCTGGTGGATGCAGCAAGGGATTAAGCCGTTGCGGTATCTCCGCAAATTTCATACGTTGGCATCCAAATATCTGTTCCAAATATTTGTCACAATTTATGTACTCACGCTCATGAGCATCTTGTAATTTATGAGTTTTTATGTATTGCCAAAGCGCTGAGATTATTACAGGACGTGTCTGTGTGTGCACTCCGAGTAAACGTGCTAGTCTTGGATCCAATTTAAATTGCAGTGGCTGATAATCCAGTAATAATAAAATTGTACAGCGTACGTTTCTGTCCCCTGGTCGTTTGACCTGAAACCCGTCAGTTTCTTGAGTAGTATGAGTGCGATGCCACTCCACTAAATGGTTATCAGGACCATACAATTCCTTATCCAATTCAATAACCAATGACTTGAAAAAGGATGAAAACTTCCGTTTTATTTTTGTGGTGGGATCTCCTTTTCCATCTTCTAATAAACGACCTTCCACACGCAACTCCCATGAAGCTACAGAGCCTTCATCACCTTCATTGCTTGGTTCCTTACATGGATAAAATGTGTTAGATATAAATATGCGAAGTTTTCGTTTTTGTTTCATGGGTCTTTTTAATGCTTCTTGAATATCCAGACGCTTCCTCATAATAGTGGCATCAAGTTTTCTCTCGAAAGTAAGTAAGTCCATATATGCTTGCGATTCCGGTACCAAATCTCTCACCTTTTGAGGTAAAATCTTATCTGCGAGTTTTTTCTTTTTCTTTGCGGCTACGAAATCACCTTTACTTTGATTATTATTAATGTTACGAGCTTCAGCTGATCTTTTGTTTCCTCCACCGGAGCCACTTCCCCTAAGACCACTTTGAAAACCAGGTTGTGCGGCTCTTGGATGTAATGGTGGCCCACCGGGTGAATTTGCATTATTTTGCCCAGGTTGAGATGGATTTTGATGCAATGGAAATCCACGTTGCTATTAAAATTTGTATAAAACTGAACAATTAAGGTGCTTCGATATATTAATCAATACATAATACTCACAGGAAAACTTCCACCTGCAGAATATGGCCGCATACCGGATGGTTGCGGAGGAGGTGCCTGGTATCGAGGTTGGCCGGGAACAGGAGCAGGTCCTGGTTGCCCAGGAGCAAATCTTTGAGACATTTTAAATATATTTAGAACACAAGAAAAAATTATACTTCACAAGCGTCACTAAAAATTTTCCAATAAAAATGGCGTAAAATATGACACAACTGTCAAAGTAACTCACCATTTCAGTGCTGCCGTCTGTGAACTTTTCGCATACTAAGGAATTATTTACACCGCATAATTTTCCCATGTGGGCTTGTGGGTCTCTAGAATCTCTACAGTTTTGACATATTTCGGAAGTTCTTTCTAAATTTTCGCAAAACTGAGCATAACTTGTTGTTGGCCTTTATTTCGAATATGTAATTACACGTGTAAAATTTAAAAATACACATATCTTACTCGAGGAAGATTTTAAGTGGATGATTTTTTTTAATTTCGAAATGCTTTTGGTAATATATATGTATATGCTTAAGTGGACTTTAAATTAGATAAAAAGTTAAAATCTGGAAATTTTTCTTAATATGGCTAAAATTTTTGAATAATAAATATATTCATTGCAAAAAAATTCCTGTTATAACCAACTAATACCATGTTCACACCGAATCACATGAATCACACGATTTCGGCTGTTGAGTGGTTTATCCCACTAATCGTATAAATTTATCAAGATTTCGCCGTACAAAAATGACAGTTCAAAATCACTTCATCGAAATGATTGGAAACTGATCCACGCTAAATCGCGCTGGGCGACTCTGATTTTGCGCTATCTACTTGGCAGCATTGAAAATCTATTACATTATCACAGCTGATTTAGACAATACAAAGGGAATAAAATGTAAACAAACAATTTTTTTTAAAGCAATGAATCTAATTTCACCTGAAAATCGATTTAACAAACGAAAAAATGCCTCCATTATTTATATTATATGAAAATAATTCAAAATTGACGGTTTTTATCTCAAAATACCATATGACAATCTTTTCAACAATCGGCTGTGAGAACACTGTTGGGTTATGAAATACTTAAATGTAATCTAAACTTTTAAATTTCCGGTCTGAACATGGTATAAAATGCAAACCAGCTGATTAATGTGTTCTCAATGGGAAAGGTTATATACTTTCTAAAACCATTTATTAAAACAACAGTGAAAAACAAACTTTTACAGTCAAGGTATCACAATAATACATGCCGGCAAAAAATCAGCTAATTTGAGGTTCAACTTAACTCTAAATTCAATTATGAACCTGAGTTAACCTACGCAGGGAAAATGTGTATATTCTATCCAAGTCGACCACTCATTTCGCCGTAAGAAGTGTTAGGCATATATATTAAACTTACCTTTATAGAATACAACCGAATAAAAATTAAGCATAAACTTGTGGATTACATATGGTAACATCTATATTCATTCAATAACAGCCCCGTAGACTCTCAGGTAATAAATATACTGTAAAATTTTTCAATGGGACTAATTCATATATTAAGTAAAATTTTTACTTAATAAAAGCATGGTGTGTTGGCACATTCCTTAAGAAATGTGGAAATAGAAGATGATAATATGATTTCAAAAACCGTTGAGTTGAGAAATTTAAATATAAACAGATATTTGACATTTACTGGCAGCATATGTCTAAAATTTAATGTCTGTGAAATTTCTTTGCCAGTAGTATTGCCAGTTCGAAAATTATGACTGTGTAATAAAGATGTATGCATCATTTGTACCGAATGAAACAACGCTTATTATTTAACACTTTTCTTTTACTTTATTAAAATTTGAAACTTTTTAGAAACTATAAATCAAAAACCACAGGGCAACTGACACTCTTATAATTCGAGATGGTAGAAAATGTTGCACTTTTGCCTGTTTAGAAAGCAATACTTTCAGAAAAGGACTTTGACAGCACGTGCGTAGGGCAGAAGAAATGTAAAATTTTATTGAGAAAAGAAAACGCTATAAATATGAAGATATTATGTGTATGTATATATAATGAAAGTAATTTGCTTAAAGTTTTATATTAATAATAAATATGATAATATTAGTACATCTTGCGATTTTAATCAGTTTCGTAATTAGCAAAAATAAGTATATTCTATAAATATTTTTAATTTTACAATTGCGTCTGTTATGAGTTCGAAATGAAAACATTTCCATTTATCGCAGCAAAATGTGAGGCAATTTTTCTCTCAATACCACATAGTGAATAAAATTTTGGCTTGACACAAAGCCTAGTATTAAAACGCTGGTTAAGCTGTCACTGTGGCAACATCAATTAAAATTGTCGAAAGAAGTGAGTTGTCATGCATTCAACACAATAACAAAAAACAGAAGGAAAGAAATTCCTTCACAGAATAATTTAAATATTTGTTGTTCTACAAAATCTCGCCACAATGAACGAAAATTGGTTTTGTGAACAAATCAGTAATTTAAATATCCAGGAAAATCGCCTGACCGCTTTATCTGAAATTCGAATGCGTTTGTACGAAATTAGTGAAACTTCAGACGCTCAATTGGAAGCACAAATTAGAGAACGTTTACTCAACGCTCCAGAATTTATTGAATGTCTAAATTGTAAAACTGAGGTCAAAGAACAATGTGAACTGACTGCTGATATATTGGCAATATGCATGTCACACATGAGCCTCGGACAAAGTACCCTACCGACAATATTGGAGCTGACCCTGACGCATCCACGAGCTAGTATAAAAGCTGTTGTTTTGAACACAATTTTAAAACAATTAGAAAGACGGCGAAACAGCAATAGAAATGTTCAAATATCTTCTGAACTTCTCTTTCACATTTTAAATGGATTAAAGGAAGATAACAGCAAAGTCGGAGTTCCAGCGATTGCAATATTAACTATAGTTCTAGAACAACATATCAATGATGAAGGCGTTAAACTCAAATTATTGAATATGTTGACACTTAATGAAATTGTTAAGTGTCGCGTTTATGAATTAGCTGTAAATCTTGCCAAGCAATCGCCAACTATGCTTCATCAAGTTGAATTTCTGCTCGATCGAGCTTTGTCAGAGCTTGATAATGATGATGTGCTATTTCAAGTAAATATTCTTGAAATACTAGTTGCACTAGCAGAACAAAATCATGGGTTACTATATATGGAAAATAGACAAGTTTTCGAAATAATAAGCAGGCGTGTTGAAAATGTTGACCAAAACCCAATCGACCAATTACTCATTCCAGGAATTATGAAATTTTTCGGCAAAACCGCGTCAGTGCAACCTCAGAAAGTAATTGTTGATTATCCTCATATGATACAATGTCTATTCGAAAGCATTCTTTCTGGAAATATGTCAATACTACCAGCGGCATTTGATACATTTGGTAAGTAATCTTAAAAATAAATAAAATGTGAAAAATTTATGTTTTATTAAAATTCTAGCGAATCTCAATCAAACAACGAAAGGAAAACAACTATTGGAACAAAATTATCCAGCGTTGATTAAAGAAACCTTTGAGGCTATGGGTTCGTATTTGAGAAACCTCTCCACAGATTTGAAAAACCGAGCATTTAACACATTGGAAATGGTTTTTTCGACCGAAAGTTCTAATCAAACTGATATAGAGTAAGTCTGAAACCACTTCTTATTGAATATTTCAATGATTTTCATCTATTTTTTAGGGAATTGCTTCAAAAATGGTTCAAGTATTTAGCTGGAGAAGAAAGTATGCAATTTCTGATGGACTACTGTCGAAATCCGTTTCCTGATATCAAAGTAGCATGTCTAAGCTTCATTAAATCCCTTTGTACTCATAAATGGGGATTACTAGCATTAAGAAACACAGCTGGTTTTGTTGAATTTTTACTTGATCGAAAAATTGAGTTTGACAAAGACGCGAAATACAAAAAATTCGAGTTAATCAGTCTTTTGGCAGATACTGATGTTTTTGATATGCAAATTAATCTACAATTGCGCACTTATATTAATGAAGGTCCCTACTTCGTGCAAAGTATATTAGACATAGCTACGGAAGGCAATTGATGGATGCATAATAAAAATATAATTGAGAATTATTTGCTGTTTGTCCTTCTAACATGAGCTCATTTTGTAATCATTAATTTTTTTTTATTACTTTAAAAAGTAAAATCTCACATTTTCATTGAAATGTTTGAAAGTGTGCTAAAGCTGCTGCTGGTCAAATTTTTACTACAAAAGTCGAGAAGATGTATAGAATATTATTTTTAAGAACGACATTAATTATTACAATTTGTACCAATAATGAGCATAAATTAGCTGGCAAAACAAACGAAAACGTTTGAGATCATTTGCTGAGCAACAGGAAAAAACGTTGTCGGCTGCACGGAAATTTTGTATATGCAAAACTGCTGCGACTCTAGTCTCTGTGACAGCAATTTACACCTGGTTCGCCATGTTCTCCACAATGTTCTCCCTTTGTACAAGAAACGATGTAGCCATAATACATTGAATTTCGATTTAAAAATTTGAGAGAATGTTTATTACAGTGTAATCTGATAATGCAACAAAGAAAAAATTGATTTCTCGAAAACTTCACTTAGGCGATTCCTTAAGTTACCGCGTTGATTTGAATTTTAGTAGATTCTTGGGAGGTGGGTGAATTTTTTTAACCAATTTTCTCCAAATCCATATCTATATCAAACACACTCCTCAAAGACCTAAAACCGCACATTATCTTTCCTTCAGAAAATCCGTAGTTTAATTGTGTACCAATCAATAACTGTAATTAGATTAAAACATTCAATAATTATAATTATTTGATCCTACCTAAATTTTGCTGGTAATTACGGAAGGGCGGATGAAAAAATATGTACCATAATAAAAATATTTTGCATATTTATTTAAAAAAATTATTAGGATGAAGAGAAAAGTTGAAATCATGGGAATTGTTCGTCTGTTCGTCCATAACAACCTTGGTATACGTGTTCCTTGAAGTTCGGCATTGTAAATGGATGTAAGTGGGCCAATGCTGCGCTCACAAAGTGCCGTTAATCGATAATCTCCATATGTTTCCATAATTCCATCTGTGAAGTGTGTACAGTTGAGCATTCACGTCCATTGTCGAATTTTTCGAAGTCATAAAGTGCAAGCGACAACAAGAGTAAAGAAGCGCATAGTTCGGGTGTAACTGAACATTTTATACTTTAACAACTTATCAGAATCAAAATCAGGGAAATAGCTTAAGATGAAAAAGTTTGTAAGTTATATGAGGTCCAGGCCAAGTTTTCACCCCATATTTGCCGATTTGCGGCATAAAGTCAACAAGAAGTTCGACTGGAGACTAAGGGAAGTATTGACCCCATTCAACCCATTCTTGACACAAGGATATATTATTATCAAGGGAATATTTCACCCGAATTTAAATAGGTTGAATGAATTTTTCGGCAAAAAATTAGCCATATGCACTGTGGCTCACAATGTGGACTCCACATATTCGGTATGTGCGTCTTGAACAGATATGATTCGTTTTTGACAAGTTTAGACTTGATATGACATTAGATTTTATCCAAATATATTTTATTCATTGATACTTGACTTTTATACTATCACTATCATATGAAATTTAAAATACTGCTATATGGGAAGCAGGCGGGAGTATAGCTTTACTGTGCACATTTTCACAACGTAACATAGCACCGTCAGGATAATGTTATGTACCGAAGTTGAAGTTGATATTGGTCGAGTAGGTTCGGGGATATAGTATATAATTCTCCTCAATGTATGCGGTAACACACCCATCATCCAATTTCAACAGCGCCTCCTATGAATCCCTCGCACTTTAAGTAATTTTTAACAAAGCCGTTTACAGAGGGTTATAATCTGCTATTGTTAATCCATTTTGACGCTATTGTTAAGGGGTCTTATAGGATTTACTCTGAATAAATTTAGTTATTATAGCTTTAGTGGTTTGGGAGTGGTATTAAAAGGCGAGGCTACGCATATTTTTTTCAAAACGTTTAGTCCGCAGGTGCAGTAGCAAGGGACTGTGATCCTTTGTACCAGATTACAGGTTTATATATTAGGTAAGTGCTTAGTTATTCCGATTAATAGAGTTTTGTGGGCGTTGTTTCTATCTGTAAATTCGCACGCGATTGTCTAAGTCGCAAGTTTCGGGGAAATTCCTTTGTAAACAGCTATTCGTGTAGTAGTCGAAGCAAGTATTTATCCCCTCATATGTTACCTACAAATGATATTGAGTTGGACAAAGGGTTTTTTCAGCCGATTTAGAACAGGTGATATTGTAGAACCGAATATTTTAGACGTAACCCAATATGACTTCTAGCGCCATCGAAAACGATGAGGATTCCGGAGAAGAAACTAAAATCCTATTTAATGACCAATGTTAATACAAGTGGCAATCACTACAAAGCACTAAACAGATTAGAATCTTGTAATGTGGCTTTACAATAATTTACTCCAACACTGTACATCATTTATCCTTACCATACCTCAACATAGTGCTTTACACCATACTAGAAATATCCTACACTTACTAAACTTCATCTCACTGCATTGACCAAAGCTGCGCTATGCTTCTATATAAGCAAGCACTTCACACCGAATGCGATCATTTCTTCTAGCTCGCCAGCCAGTGTGACCGTAATACACAGCAGCAAGCAGCAATAGGCAGTGGTAAGTGAAGTAGTTAGTTTTTGTAGACATTGCGTTGAAAAGGTAGCACACCAATCGGTGTGTTACCAGTGCACGAAATTAGAGTTGGGTATTTTGTTAGGCCTCGCAGGCATTGCATTGAAAAGGTATTACACCTCGGTGTGACCGGCTCTGCCTTATATACAGTAGAATTGGGTACTTTGCTAGGATTCGCAGGCATTGCGTTGAAAAGGTGTTACGCCAAATCGGTGTAATACCAGTGCTCGCAATGACCCTGCCTTATAACCCAACCGATGTGTTAGTTTTCGCCGGCGTTGCGTCGAAACGATATCACACCAACTCGGTGGGATATCAGTACATTGTATAAACGTACAAGTAACTAATCCTTCATTTTTCACTAACATACACGCAAAAATCTACTACAAATTAGGCACTTGGTACGGGTTGCCGCTAAATATTCTACACAAATTAGGCACTTGGTTCGGGTTGCCCCCAAATATTCTGCTACTAATTAGTCACTTGGTACGGGTTGTCCCCAAATATTCTACTACT